TAGGCCAGGATATGCTCAGTAAGAGCCAAGTTAAATAACAGGAACGCTAGATGAAAGAATGTGGATAATGGTATGAGTTACTGGCCACCATGAAAACTGACTAGAAAGGCCGAATTAGAATTAAGCAATGATATCCACAAGTTAGCAAGTAATGCGCCATAGAAAAAAAGTAACTTATACATCACCTATTAGGGTCATAGAAGATAATATATTTCTTGCATCTAGCCTGTTGTTAAAACGTATTAAATCTAAGATTTGTAAGAAAACAGTGATACTAATTTACACTCATTTTTGAGCTCTCATGAAGGATATTCGATCGAATGAAAGTAAGGCAACAAGTGCGTAGTCAAACCGATCAATTTCCTATTAAGATTGACCATTATGATGCTGACTGACCTGAATATAGCCACCAACATCATGAACATCGAGGCCCATAAGGTGACCGAGGCCATGAGGCATAAAAACAGCACCTAAACGGGCAGTCACCATGTCATCCAGACTTCCAGCAGTAGAGTCAAGTAGACCTGCACGCAATAATGCCTCGAGAATGATACGCTCAGCGAGGATGTGCAAGCTGGACCAAGGAACCCCAGGATGGATGCCGGCCAGCACACCGCTGGATAGATATGGGAAAAGGAATTTGAGATTGGTGAAGTGAGAGAAATGAGAGAAGAGAAAGGAAATGAAGGCAGGCGTCACTTAAATCAATTATAAGAAGGAATGGATGAAAACTATTTTATCAAAGGTTGCATTTGGGTGGGTGGCTGAAAAGAATGAATCTAAAGAGATAAAGCCAAAATTGGTTCAAAGGAGAGAACAAAAGTAGTAGATCAGGTGGAATGATAATAGGCTTGAGATGAAATATCAGAAAGAACTTGGGTCTGATTAAATTCAAGCAGATTAGATTCCCAGACTTAAAGGCTAGAATAACTCCTAATTAAATGAGCTGTCAAAATGATGAGATTCTTTAAATTATATGATTACCGATTAGCCGAAAGAACTGCTTCGTATATTATGCGCTGATCTGGCGAGAAACGGCCGTTGACGGGGAATGAGCAAGTAATGTCAGAAGAATAACAATAGTATTCTCCACCCATGTCAAAAAGGCACATGTCACCATCCTTGATCTGGTGTTTGTTTGGCGCCCCAGCGTGTCCGTAATGAAGCACAGCACAATTGCACCCACTGAAAAAGATGGAGGTTTAATCAAAGGTGAGGGTCAGGAGAGAGAGGTCAATAAAATAAAATGATTAGAAAGAAAGAGAAAATGGATCCTAAATAATTTTAGGAAATAGAAAATGTAAAAATACATAAGTAGGGTTATATAGAAGAGGTGTAGATGGCTTAGAGCAAAAATACACTTTCGTGAACATTCTGAGCATTAATATACCGCATCCTACAGTGTACAATAAAGTCTTTTATAAATGTGACCAAGAAAATAATAGCCTCGATTGCATAAAAGTTATCAGTCTATAATTGATTTGAGTGAATAAATTTTCTGAAAAAGTTTGGAATCGGAGATATAAAGACCAGGATGGAGTGGCCTCTAGTTAGATCGAAGTCACCCTTCGTTGCATAAGTGGCTTGACTTCGTTTTCGCAACTTAGTCACATTGTCGGGAGAACCTAGATAAAAGCACTTTATTACAAGTCCTATACCATAGTAGTTATGAGGATTTACGGCATCGGACCGTGGACTAGGTCAATTTTTAGACTCGTCTAGTTGACGAGTTATAGCTTGGGGCTAAGAACACCAAGACTGCCGGCGAAACGTCTGAGAATGTACCAAGTCCACCATCCGACGCTGGAAATTAGTATAACTGCTGTGACAGAGAACTTCGTACAAGAGGCGTTCAACTAGGCTTCTCTGTAAACACGACCAAGTTGCGAAAACGAGATCAAAACACTTATAGAAACTTGGGGAGTCTAGGCAATCACTAATGCAGGTTTTAATCTTAATTCAAAATGCAATAGTTGGTCCTCACCTGGCTGCAATGCAAGTGTAACTGACATGGCGCATAGAGCCTTTATGATAACAATAGTGCTGAAATAAACTTTCCGCTTGAAACTGGTACATTCCTGGCCTCACTTTACGCATGAGGTCACGATGCGCAGCACTACTGATGTTGTTGGTATAGCGGAGAATCTCCAACTCAGCAGGAGACTTGATAACTCGACTAGTTAAAAGAAGAAATGATAAGATATTAAGATATGCATTATCTAGTTCCAGTATAATAAATGAGGATAGATGAAATCAACTGAACTGAAATATATTGACTTAAGCTGAGATTTAAGCTCAAAATAATATTTATGTTTACAGAGAGCATGTATGTTGAAATATTAACAAACGAGAAATTGAGGATAGGATATTGTTGCCTCGCTATTATGAAAAACAATA